TGAAAAGGCCCAGTCAGCGATTTGGAAAAAAGGGCCCTCAACAGTAACCCAAAAAGAAAAAAAGATCGCTACGCTTACAATACAATTTTATGTACATAATTTTTTTTTTTTCAATACGATTGATATCTTCTATATTTATCATATATCATATATTATATATTATATATCATATATTTATCATATAGTCATATAGGCACAATACTTAAATACGTACCTAACTAAAATTCAAACATTCGATATATTTATTGGTTTTACACTATTTTCAATGGTTATTCTCAAATGCTAAGATATTTTCTGCAGATTTCTTATAGTTCCCAGAACCATAGGACTGTTTTTATTATCAGACAAGGCAAATCCCTCCTTCCAGGAATCCAACCCCCAAAATACTACACTGGCTACACCGCCATGACATCAAACATTATAAAGAAAATACCGTTTCAAATTGTGTCATAGATTCATATTTATTTTAATTAATATTAATATTAAAAATATAAAAGGTAAAACAAATTAAACAATATAAATTAATAACATCTCAAATCAATAACCTTGATAGTTCTGACGAACTTTTAGCAATAGTATTTACAACAATTCCCTTATCAACAACATAGTCTCTTTCAATATTAATCATTAACAGAGTTTCCATTATATCTTGAGAAATTAATGATCTTAATTTAGTTTTAATGTTTTTAAGTTTGAAAAATGTCCGTTCACATGTAACTTGTGTACATGAAACGTCAAAACAAATTTATATGCCAAGTATATATTATTAAAAGAGCCCGATTGTTGAACAATATCGTACAAAATATTAAAAGCACATCTTAAACAATTGAAACATGTGCAATACATGCAATATTCCAAACTGTGGTCAATATTTAGTTCTGGTTCAGAGTCGGATTCATTGTCAAAAGATAGTTCATTTTTTGAAAATATGTCAATAAAATTTTTAGTTATTGAATCAAATTGTATTGCAAATTGTTGTAGTTCAAAAATTAAAATGTGTACACTTATTTTTGTTAATTCAGCAAGTTTTAATAGTGAATTTTCAGGTAAACCACTTTTAATATTTTTAAAAATTTTAGGGTCTAAGCAAATACAATCTTTAAGTAATTCTGAATTATTAACAAATATTTTTTCCAAACTTATCATAATGTCAAGTATAAAGTTGTATGTTTCCACTTTAAACCTTTTTTCTGCGGAAAGGCCAGGCCTTTCATCTGATGTTAATTCACCAGGCATTTTGTTTATTTTTGGCACTCTACACATTTATTTTTACTAAAATTATCTTTTATTCTAAAATCTATACTATTTAATTCCAATCCCTCATTAATTTTTGTTATAAAATTTTAAACATTAGAAATAAGTTTATTAAATGTTTCATCACCATTGTTTCTTTTTTCTTTAATTTGTTTTACTAAACTTGTTGTCATATTAAAAGCTATCAGATAATTCAATGAGCGTGATTGTAAGAATTTTGAGACAGAACTTATAGTAAAAATGTCAAGATAAATAGCAGCAGTTAAAATTATTTCAAATTTTGACCAATTTTGTAAAAGAGTATAAGCCGTGTATTTAGTTTTTGCATCAAATGTTGAGTCACTAGAAGTTATTTCTAATAAAAAATATATGAATAATAAGAATCGAGAATCTTTTACATTAGGCTCGTTGAACTGAATTATAGAAGATAATGCTTTGTCCTTACTCCACCACCTGGTCGTTCCAATCAAGTTCAATTTTCTGAGTTTATTGTGACTTTTATGAGTTTGTTTTGTTAAATCTGACTATACTTTCATTCTTTTATGTGAATTTAAAAGAAAATTAGCAGATTGTTGAACTAACCTGAAGAGAAATTTAGCATTTTTGCAACATTCAGATGAATCCACCATCACTAAATTTAAATACATGACCTAGACAGTGGGTATATTTACACGAAAGATTTTTATTTTTCTTTAAATGTGATTGTAAGCCATTATAAACACCTTTCATATTAGCTGCCCCATTAAAAGAGCAAACTACAATATTATTCATATCTAAATTTATTTCAGCAAATTCTTTTGTAATTAAATTGTACAAACCAATTCCACTAGAATCATAAGCCACAACTAATTTTAAAAGTTTTTCATATACATTTTTTTTTAAAACATACCTAACACAAATAGCAAGCTGATCTAATACTGCAACATCTTGTGTCGAGTCTACTAAAATACTAAAACTTTGGGTTTCTTTTAATCCATTTACTATTTTCTCTTGTAATAATTTACCAATAACTAAAACAAGTTTATTTATAAATGCTTTTGATAGAAACGTTACTAAAGCTCCTCTACCACGGGCCTGAGGAAGATTATTATCATTTTTTTTATCTCTAGCTTTACATTTTTTAATTAACTCAATACAATTTTTAACATGCATATTCAATACAACATCATAATCTTTAATTAGCAATACTAGTTCCAAAAAATTACCATGATTAATAGTCCTGTCCTCTAAATTATAAGCTGCTTCGTCTTTACCTCTAAAAGCTAATCCTTGTCTACCAATAAACATTATTATATCAATGAGCCTTTTAATGACTAAATGATTAAATTCTACTTCTTTAAAATAAATTTCACTTAAATTAATATTAATACAATTCTCAATATTTTTAAGTTGGCTTGCAGTAAAGCAGAAACTGCTTCACTATGTGTTTTTGATTTTTCATGTTTTTAACAGAACCATGTACATTTTTTGAATTTAAAACTTCTAATCCAGTTACTAAATTGTTAATGTTTTCACGTAGTAGGCAAAATGACATACAAGTAGTACAAAATATTTTTTTACTATAAGAACAATAAGATAACCATTTATGCTGAACTTTTAGAGAATCACTTAGTCTGAAAATACATTTTTTGAGGATCAAATGGAAGTTTATCATTAGTTAAAACAAAAGGTTGAATGGGTTGACTTTTTAAAAAAGCTGATTTGATTTCTACTGATTCATTATTGGCGGGTCTAATAAAAAATGCTAAGTTACTTGAAGTAAATGTAGATTCAGCTGATATTGAATTTGGATCCACAACAGAAATACTTTCAGTTTCACCTAATAATTGAAAATACATAGATAGTTAGATTTAATATTTAAATTTTAATAGTATAACAAATAATGTTTAAGATATGAATTACTTGTAGAAATTATAGAATCAGCCAGCTTATAATTTGGATCTACAGCAAATGTTAATTTAATAGGAATGCATTCAGTTTCACCTAATTATTAAAATCACACAAGGTTAGATTTTATATTCTTAGAATACTTTATAGAATCAAAAATTTAAATTAAAAATATTAATTGTTTGAGGTAATAGTAGATATAGCTAATTTTGAGACTGGGTTCATATCAAACGACAGTGATTCAGTAGAAACCATACTTTCAATTGCATCTTATTATTGAAAACACACATAGATAGTTAGATTTAATATTTATATAACACTTTATAAGTGCAAAAAATAAATTTTAAAATTCAAATTTCTTGTAAAGTAATATTATGGTTTATGGATACTGGATAGTGAATATTTAAATTAATTACAAACTATTTATGTATAATGAGTAGTGGCTAGAATAATTAATAATATAATATGCGTTATTGTTTTATATTTTAACAACCTATATAACAAAATAAAATAAAATATTCTTACCTTTCATAGGTTTCAGTGGTTTCACACTTGTAGAAAAACTAAGTTTTTTTTTACTTTTGTCATTTGCACATTTAAGCAATTTTTGCTTTTCTATCTCTGTTTTCTTTTCGGAACCAGTTTTATGTTTCCTTTTATATATCACGATTCACGAATCACGGACTCACAGTTAAAATAATTACGGTTAACGGTTAACAGACAGCACTACAACAGTAATAACTAACAACTTATAAGATGTCAATTTGAAATGAACCATTCAACCGACAATGTTGTATTAAAATCTTTAAATTTAGCTTTCAGGCCAAGATAACAAATAACCATATTCTAAACAAAATAAATGAACAATACAACGTTGTCGAACTATAAATTATTATTCTTGTAATTTGTATCATTTGATTATAATATTAATAATTATTTATCAATGATAATAATTCTGAATTTAGAACGGCTTGATTATAAGAACATATTATTGACTTTACAAGCTATTTATAACCTTGCGGGCTGCCGCCTCATGTGCACGAGTACAATACGTACTCAAAATATAATAATTTAGTTACAATCAATATTCAGCGGTAATGCGAATACCAAGTTGTACGCATATGCCCGTATAATATAATATAATATTATTTAATAGTCACAAGAATTGAACAATTTTACACTATTTATAATCTATGAATACATATTTGTATAAAAACAGCTCCCTATTAAATTCGTAGAATGATAATAACAATATCATTATTTTAATAATTATTGAGAATTTTTCAAGGTTGTAATCAATAATACGTTTCCTGATTTGAAAGAAAAATAATTTATTTCGTATTTCTAATTTTAATATTAATAAAAATAGGTACAAAATCAGGGGTCCACAATTACCATAATTAAGCCGAGGCCCCGTCCGCAATTGCGGACCAGCGGTCAGAGCCAGTCCGACTCTGTCTAGGATGAACAAAGAAAAATATACATTTGCTAGAACTTCTGAGCCCTGATAATAACGCATAGAATGTTATCGTAATATGTTTTTATTTTTTGTCTGCGGGCCGGATAAAATTTATTAGTGGGCTTCCATTTGGTGACCCATGGTATAGACTATAGTGCGATGACTGATTTATATAAGCAAATCCTCCACCACGCGCGTAAACCATTTTACTAGAAAAGAATTATTGTTCGATACCATTCGACCACTTTTGATTTTCGAACCAATATGGCGATTAGTAAATGATTCGATACCAGTATTTTTCTTATCGATATGAGTAAAATATCGAAACCATGGGTATCGATACAAAAAGTACTTGTATCGAAAGAAAAGTATCGATACTTTATTGGTATCGGTAGTATCGCAACGTCCCTTGATATGGTAGTTCACTTCACAACGTTGTCACCATTGGTCGTCATCACGGAAGTCTTGAGGGTGAGAATTCGGAATTCTGAATACCAGAATAGCTGGTGCACAGGTTACGTCTCGTCGGTCCGACGTCGTCCAGTGTGCGAAAGCAGTAATTAAATCGTTTTTCAAAGTATTCTTCGCTGGGCGGGAAGTCGCCATGTCGAGCAAACACTTGGCTAAAGGTAAACGAGTAGATAATATCATGACAAAATAGATATATTTAGTAACGTTCTATTGTTTTTATGAATATTAATACATACATGTTATAATTTGGACAAAAAAGCCCGAAGAATGATATGTGTCCCTTATGTCCCACGAATGAATGTACACTACTGTCAGTATCTAGGCGCTTGAGTTTTTTCAGTCTATAATCTGTTTGCTTTTTTTTCAGGTTCTGTCGAACCACCTGCCGTTCCAAATTCTTTGCGTTTTTACTCTATGCGCTTCTGCCCGTACGTCCAGAGGGTTAAGTTAGTGCTGAATGCTAAGGGCACGCCGTAAGTGTTTGCTGACATGGTTTTAAATGTTTATTTTCCTTTTAATATTTAAAATCCATTGTTTGAGCAGCCATGATACTGTATTTATTGATTTGTCCGACAAGCCCGAATGGTACTTGGAAAAATACCCGGCAGGCAAAGTACCAGCATTGAACTATGATGGTAAATTTTTATCTGAGAGTCTGCTGTTGGCTGATTTCCTTGACGAAATATACCCAGAACCACCTTTGTGGAATAGTCCTTTACAAAAGATTTTAGACAAAATATTCATTGAATCTTTTGGAAAAGTAAGTCAGTGAAAATTATATCTTCCTAGTAACATAATCAAGTTGAGTTTAAGAAATTTTATAAACATTAAATTATAATTTTTATTAATTACAATTATTTTTTCTGACAATATAGTTAAAAATATAGGTGTAGTCAAGGGAATGGGGTTTAGGGGTTCAAGAATTGACCATTAAAAATGTTTATTGATATTACGTTTTCATATTGTTTTGAAATCAAATGACAATATGACAGATAGGTACTAAGTAATTTTTTTATGTTAGTTATGTTATCATCACAATTAAAGATATTCTTAAGTATATAGAATGGTATTATTTGATTTTATTGTAATAGTTCATTTAACCACTACTTTACATTGGCTACCATTTCCAGTGCCAAATTTAAGTATTAGAAGGCAGGGCTGCAAATACCAATAACAGGCAATTTTAAAATTTTGGTTAAAGAGGTCCCAGCACTTAGCACTTCCTACACTCCTACTAAATTCAATATTGACCGCGTCACTGAATTATGGTTTTCAAGTTACTATATTCCTGATTTCATATTAAATGATAAGTTCTTAAAATTTAAAATTCTAGAGTTACAAATTAGAAAGTACAATATTCTGAAATAGTAAAATTAGATTATGTAAGTGTTAACATTTTTTGTCATACATTATTTCAATTTAATTATTATTTTTAACTAAAACTAAAATTATTTATTTTTCATTAGTTATTATTTTCATTTAATTTGGAAAAAGTTGACCTTGACTTGAAAAAAGCAGCTTATCTTGCTGAAGCTATTGTTTCTAATATTTATAATGTATGTAAGATAATAGATCTCTCCTGATAAGAGACCTTCAAATTTAATGTATAAAAATAATTTTACTTTAGAAAATGGCTTAGAAAAAGCATTGTAAACTTGATTTTGTTATTTGATTTATAGTATTATAATTTATAAACTAAATTTAACAAATATTTTACAATACAAATATTGTTCATTATTTATATATTATAAAAGATATCTCATTTTTATAGTGATTCTTATTATATAAATAATAAAAATCATTTAAATTCTTCCCCCCATTCAAAATTTCTAAACACACCTTAGATTAAAAGTGTTTGCATTTAGAATATTAAGGCCATTTAATTAGTCACATTTTTCATTATAAGTAATTTTTTATAATATTTGTTCTTTAAAAGTTACTATTTTTATCAATTTTATTGTTCTGTTTATTAAATTATATTTTAAATGAAATGTTCTTTAATTTACTATTTTTATTTAAATGGTATTAATGAGACCCGTGTACAGAAATGTTAATAAATGTTAATAAAAAAATGTTATTTAATGGAATTCATTAATTAAAATTTAATAGGTAAAGTTAAACGTTTATTAAGTTATCTCTGTATAGAGAAATATTTATGAAATTATTTATTCCTTATTTCCAAAAATTGATTGAACTAAATTTTATGTTATAGGTTGGATCATTATTTTATAAGTTAATTATGACTACAACTGAAGTAGAAAAAGCAAATTTTGATGAACTGGTTGTTAGTTTAAAATCTGTTGAAGATGAACTTGCACAAAGAGGAACTAAATTTTTTGGAGGTAAATTTTTTTATAGTACAATTAATTTATTTTCAATTTATAAAAATGATCATTAAAACAAATTTGAAACGTAAATTGAAACTATAAATTTGTTGACTTTAACATATAGGCACCAGTCCTAAAATGGTTGATTACATGATATGGCCTTGGTTTGAGCGTTTGGATGCCATAGAACCTTATACTAAAGGGAAATATGCTATTCCATTTAATGAACAATTGAAACATTTGGTAAGAATTAAATTAATACTTTACTTTTTACGTTTTACTTATTGCAAATTTAAATTTTCATGTTTTTATTTATAGGCTAAATGGAAAGCTTCTATGATATCTGATAAGGCTGTAGCATCATATTATGTCACTCCAGAAAAGCATGCTGAACATTTTACTAAAAGAAAAGCTGGATTACCCGCTTTTGACATTTTAAATGAATAATGCTTTTAATACTTTGTTAAGTAATTTTTTTTTTTTTTATACTGTTTAGTTTCCGAGTATTTGAGATTATACGATTAAATCTAATAATTTTTATTACATTATTGTTTATTATTTTTATTTCACATGGTATACTTTTATTGCAAAATATAATTAATATTTTAATAAAGAATAAAGCATTTAAAGTTATTTAATTAATTTTTACTTTTTGCCTTATTAATGTGGTTTATGTGCAATATGATAGAAACATTAGTTAACAATTATTTATAAACATATCACAGAATAGAAAAATCAGTTAATCTACGTATTTTGATTGATTATATAAAATATTTGAGTTAATTAGTCTACATTTTAATACGCTAATTCCTAGTTAAGAATACTTTGTACTGTTTACTTTTTATTTTTTAGTGTTGATTTGCAATCAATAGTTTTTTTTAAAAAAAAATGTATGGCAACAAATTATAAATGAATACAGAGCTATTTTTGAATTACTTCAAAAATACATTACAAGTGTTTTTTTGTTGTTAGATTTTTGTTTTATCTTAACATTTGAAATGTTAATGAAAACTGCTCGCATTATTGTTTTATAATGTTAGTGAATTTTGTTGTATTTTATCGAATGGCTAATATTCTAGCAAATTTAAAGTGCCAAAATCATCCTTGAATACAAATAATTTGTTGCAAATATGAAGGACTTTAGGACATCATACATTTTTTTTTAAGTATTTATTAATATTTTCAAGTGTCAATATTTACTAATAAATTTTATGTAGGTAGCAGAAATTACAATTAATGTTAAAAATAATAAAAACCAGGTTCTGAAAATATATACAACATTTTATTGATAGCTACGTTAAATTATAGGATTTAGGAATGTATTATATTCACTGATCGGATAAAAACCAAATGCAACAAACGAAATGAGCAATAGTATTCGTGTATGTATATTTATGTCATGGTATGTTAAAAAAATACTATGTTATATATATATATATATAAAAAAAAGTTATAAAAAAATTAAGTATTCAAGTCAAACACAAATATCTCATAGCCATTCAAACAGGATGCTTTAAGTAGTCGAATTTGTTATGTGCTCGTACTTAAATCGACAACTAAATTCCAGGAAAAGGACAAGGGGTGTATTGGAATTCGTTTATAACGATTTGTCACAAACCGATAGGTAGCAAGAATGGCGCTGTTATTAAAACAAAAATAAAAATAATAATATGTTTTGACTAGAAACGCTTGTCGTTCGTTGTTCAAATGAAAGCGTTGTTTATCACCACACGTTTGATTAGTTTATCGTCTGCATTGGTAATTCATCGTCATCGCGCTTGTAGGCAGGATTTTGACTTCCGTTGAATATGTCCTTGACACTGATGCCCGCGTTTGATTGTCGTTGCGTTTGGTTGAACGCGTTGTTGGCGCCAAGCGTTTGCATCTGAGACTTTCGTCTTTCCGCCTGCATCGACCGTCTTCTAACCTCTAACGCTTGACGTACTTCCTTGCCCATGGTCAGTTTTCTACCTAACACCGGCGTGCTACCTACACGTGGACAAACAAAAACATCAACGCATTAGATCAGTTTCGGATCGCATTTAAAGGCGTCGATATAATGTATGGCGTCCGCGGTCCATGTATAGTTTTGAAATTATTTTCCTATTTTTCGTACATATAAGTACGAAATATTATATCGACTTATAACGAAATTAAATTTTACATTTGCGTGTATATATATAAGATATTATGAACTGTATTTCCGTGTATAATTATACCTTGCGGCTCGTCTTCGTCTTCTCCCATTTTCATCTGCAAGAATCTCTTGCGGAAAGCCACGTCCAGTGTACCGATCGTCCGGGTTTTCTGCCGTTGTTTTTCCAAGTTGTAAATGGTTCGCCGTCGGCCCACCGCGTTATCGCCACTGGAACCCGATTCGTTGTCGTAGTCGCCGTTGATGCCTCTCAGCCGTTGGAGGTGTTTCACGATAACGACCGCTTGTTTGTCCAGAAGACCGTCATGGGTCAAATCTTCAGTCTGTTCGAAAAATAACGTCAGTGGTCGAATTAAAATCACAACCCTGATGAACTCGTTCGCGCGCACTTACCTTTTTGGTGCAACACAAGTTGAGATCGGTTGAAGCGAGTATGTGGGACAGAGTTCCGAACCGATGGAACAACATGGCGGTGAACTGTATTACTATGATGAACGCGAAGAAGAACACGAACACCAAACCAATGGGTTCCAAATGTAAGTACTCTTTGCTGATTATGATCTATAGGTAAACGTTTTTATTTTTATTAATTATAATTTATTATTTTTTTATCGACGGATGTCGATTATGCTTATATATGTCACATACTTCCGACGTTTCAGCAACGGTCGTAATGTTTGTCTTAACGCCTATCGGCCAGTCTAAATGGAGTTTGTCCTTGTTCAACTGAAGCAAGAACACGATGAGCACGAACAATGCGTTTATCATGAAAAACGAAAATACAGATTTGTTTCTTAGCTCGATCAAGTCCGCTGCAATTCGAGCCTTTTCGTTTTTGTCTTCGTCGATCGGATACAAATATTTGTCGATCAAATCTTTCCAAAACTGTTGTTCCGCTACGGACAAGAACGCAACAGGTCCTTTTCGCAAAGATTTGTCCTCGATCCAGTAGGGATTGATGTCGTCGTTGCGTTCCACTTTAGGCTCTGCATTCGAACAATTTAATATTCATTATTAAACGGGATCAGTACATTTGCCCGACACTACGTTTGCCTGACACTACACTTGCCCGACAACCTCAACTTATATTATAAATAAATATGTGTCAAAAATTATTAAAAATTTCAATAAAATATTATTTTATACCTATTATATTACTTACAAATTAATGTTAAATTTTAAAATTATGTAATTAATAATTGTGTCAAAAATTAATAATAACACAAACATTATATTACTTACAGTTTAATGTTATGAGCGATTCTTATGAATCTATCGCGAATAGCGGTAAAATACGATTGAGAACTTAATAATATAATATACTATACTTAATACTTAGTACCTTTTCACATAGAACGATAATATCCATGATAAAATATTCGTCTGATTTAGTTTTTTTTTTTTAATTATTGTATATTCATATTGTACATTAATTAATAATAATAGTAATATAATATTGTATATCAGTACTACGTACAGTAAAAATATGTAAAATATATTGTCGGGCCTCGGGCAAATGTTGTGTCGGCCAAATATATCAGACTTTTGTTAAACATGTACTACTAAAAAGTAACAACAAAGTAAAATTATTCATACCTAACGATTCTTCGTCAGTTTCTTCATCTGAATGTTCATTTTCAGAGGTTTCTTCTTGTACCGGGTTCAAACCGATCTGATGAGGTACGCTACTGGTCGAAGCATTTCTTTTACGGTTCACAGCCGTTGGATCCATTATAGTCCTATTGCAAATGTTTGGTAGTTACAAACATTAGATCATGTTGTGACAAAGAATACTCACTTTTCAATATAATCCATTCGTTTACCCAGACCTTCTAATGAATCGGCTATCCTCACTAGCTGTTGACCTTCGTTTACGGGTTTCTGGTAAGTGCAAAACATGCATTTGAAAAGTCCAGCGAAGGAAAGTTCAAATGAACCCTCTTCGTTGTCGTCGTTCGGGTCCCAATTTTGTAAAAATCCGAGCATTGACTTTTGTTTGTTCTTCTTTTCCGCCTCTTCGTTTGCCTTCTTCTCGGCTTCCATTTCTTTTTTAGTTCTCTTTACTTGGACTTCTCGCGTACCCCAAGTAACGATGTTGAGGTTGATTATCGAATACAATATTAAAAGCAAATACATGGACGGGATCGACAGCCAGTATATACCGAAGTATATTATGCAAGAAAACTCTTGTGGATGGAGAAGCGCGGCTATTATAAACGATCCCATCATAGCAATTAAAAATATTGCAGATGGAGATCCGATACCATCCTCACCCAATTGCAAAGCCGTACCGACAATTACGGCCATCATAACCAGTGCATACAAGGCCGATAGAATTTGTGCAAACAACAACTGCGGAGAAAATAAAAGGTGAAAATGAAAGTCATTCAAATTTATAAAGTGATTTTAGAATTGTTAATTGTTCATCAATATTGAGACTTTACTGTCATAGATCAACAATCTTACTTGAATATTTGATTTGCACGTGAAGCACACGAAAACAAATAGTATTATTGGTACGATGTTATAGTAAAAACTGGTCCAGTTATCAATATGAAATACAGCCACGAAGGCTCCCACCAACATAAGGAATATAGTTCCGGGTCCTAAAATGGTGCCACCCATCAACATAATCTGAAAATCAAAACCGTTGGTTAAGTTGGTATAAACAATATTGTTATGAAATGTTAATTACGTATAGCAAAAATATTTACGTGATAGCTGATGTACGGCATTGAAATGTTATCGTTTATTTTTATCGTTTTTTTATAGTCCATAAGCAAATCCATAATGTTTGCCATAGTCGAAGGTACCCATCTTCTCCTTTGATTATAAAACTCGTTGAAGCTTTCTGGGCAATGTGTGTACGCATCGCTAGCAGCTGAGTATTCTACTCGGTATCCTCTTTGTAACAATAATGTACACAACCATCTATCTTCGCCTGATGCATTCGTAAATAGGTATTAATAGCACATACAGATTTTATTTTAAGAATGGTTGGATTTTACCTTGATCGTATTGTACGTAATGTCTGGCCTCGTCAGATTTCATTGTATATCTCTTCATGACGTTGTCGTCCATCAGTGCTTTACCTCTGAACAGCGAAAAACATCCAGGACTACAAAGAACGCAACCAATCATGTGTTCAGTGGCTTTTTGCAGCCAATGACCAATGGCGTATTCGAAAATTTGATACCATGCCAATGGACCTGAAAAAAACATTAAACCGTGAAATCAGATTCATGATGAGTTTTATTTGTTGTGAATCACCTCCTCCGATTGGATGAATTCGTCCACACGCAGCACCCAAATTTTTATTTTTTTTCATTAGATCTATTAAAAGTCGGACGGCATGTGGCTGGAAGTCAATATCACCGTCGAGCGTCAGTAAAAATGTATTCTCTGCAATAACTTCTTTCCGTTCGACGGAAATCGGTAATTCCATTAATCGATGACCAAGTAAGTAGTACATGTACATGACTTGACTCCACCGTTTTCTGTGTCTGATTTTAGACTTATCTTTAATATGTACAGTGAGCTTAGTCTTTCCCGGTAATGTCCATACTAAACGCCCACCATACGGAGTGGGATACTTGGTCGGAGGTTTGATGCGTATGTTGGTTTCGTGCACGTGAGTAGCTGCTTCATCAATTGTACTTACCAAAAGGTTTACGAATCTGTTCACCTGGCTCCAATCATCGTTTACATCACTGATTTCGAAACCATCATCCATGAATATGTGAGCTGGACAAAAACAAATTTTAGAATAATTAAAACACATGGAGAAAATTTTACCTACTTTCAAATTCATAATAATCTGGATCAACTACTCGTAAATACTTCTGGGCTACTCTGCGAGCGCACTGGTCTTCATCCATTCGAAGGATTGACTTTAACATTTCCATCATTTCTTCGTGAGTTTCGTGCCACATGGTCGCACAAGCGTAAATCCTTGTAATGCTGTCCGATTTCTTAACCGTTTTAGGTGTTGTACTACTAACATCTGTGTGTACTGATATTGTTTCATAGTATTCGTCGGGTTCTTTATCTCGATCCGCTAAGTCCTAGACGAATGATAAATATAAATACACGACCATTTCTTAAACAATAATGAACCAATAAGAATTTCTTACTTCGGTTTTTACGTCTTTTTCGTCGTCACATCTTCTGTTCATTCCTAATGATTGATCTATTAGTAATGCATCATACATTGGTCTTGCAAATAGCTTTTCGGTAGTCGCTAGACGTTCACATTTTGGTGTCCAAATATGTAATGTTACCCAAGTTTGAGACAAGAGCCACAATAACCATACCCAAACGTGCTAGAAAAAAATAAAAATAAATTTATATTAGAATATAACGTTTTAAATTGACTTAAGATGCTTGCCTCTTTGGTGATGAAATTGTTTAAGAAATTCACATCAGGTGAATCAAAAAATAAATAATCAGGAATAGAACTATGGAAAAAACAAGGATCATCGTGACGCAATCCGCACGCGACTATTAATGCAGACATGGTTACTGGTACTGTTAGATTTACAGGGAATGCATAACTGAATCCTTGAATCATAATTTTGCAAGCGAATTTTCCTGTTAAAAAAACAGAAATTATTAATTAACATAATTTATTTAAAACAATAAATGTTTGTGTGTTTAAAAGAAGACAATGAAGACCCGTGTCCTCGGAGATTACAGGAACATGTGTACTGATGTAACATATGCGTATTTAAAGTATGTTTTTTTTTTTTTTTTTTTATTTAACAAGATACATATTAAATAAAACATTAGATGTTTAATTAAACGAGCCATATTCGTTTTAAAGAAATGTAAATATATTTACCAAATATGTAACAGAGATATGCTGATATGACCTGCATAAGAAGTACGTGTATTGCGGTAACATATTCTGCATCGATGTCTACCGATTCACCTGTTGTAACAATATCAGCGAGATCCGGTAAAATTGTTCCACTTCGAGTCACTTGATTTACCTAAGTAGAAATATACAAATCGAAAAATATTTTTTTAAATAATATTAAGTAAAATAGATAATATATTGTATATACAATAAATGGTTAATAATTATCAATTACCTCAAGAACTTGTATTTTATGTTGCGAAAATCCAGCGTTAGCCAATGAGAAAATTTGTCTAACATTTTCTCCTTTAAAGAACATGACAATCAACATAAAACAGAAAAAACATAACATTTTCCAGACAGACATCAACATGTATATAAAATAACGCGTTCTTTTCATTCGGTCTTTAATAAGATATGCAAACTTCATAAATCCTAGAATTCGAAAAACCATTATATTGTAATAAACTGTTGAAACATGGGTTATTATTTTGATTGAAATTACCAAACAACGTGTTTTTCGTTGTATAATTTTCCCAGTAACCGCAAGATACGCAAAACACTGCGATCGGGATAGCAAGATTATTCATCTGCTTTTCCGGATGTAAAAGGGGCCATAAAAAGAATCCAGTAGCTTGAGATCCCACAGCTATGAGATCCATTAAAACTTTTGCATATATTTCCGACTTCTCTGAGTTAGTTTTGCAACCTTTCGTTGTCCTTGAGAGTAAATCTGTGAATCATAAATTATATTGATTTTGGTAGTTTTTGAAAAAAAAAAAATAAAAATAAAAATTGCCACTTACTGAGCAAAGCCGGCACGAAGCAAAGACAGTTGGTAAGCATCGCACCATTAATGACGTCCAAATTCGGAAGTACGACGTACACCAGCAAAACCAAACCAAATACGTGAAGCGTCTCCATAATGAGTACAAAGACAAAATCAAATAGTAGAGGTCTTTTACAAGATTTGAAGAAACAAATCCTTAACGATCGTATTAGAGTCCCGATTTCCGGAACGATGAATGCCAATAGCAAGCACCATATCCATGCTACACGTTCTTCCGTCGGTAGATTGACAACGTAGAATTTATCACGACCTATGGTAAAGGAACGTTTCGAAAGTTAAAACGTATACATTCGCTTCGTTCAATGGTATAAGCAATTTTACTTAGTTCTTTGTTGCAGAACGTGACAACGCGATCGGCTCTGATTTGAGACGTCATGAAGAACATACTAGACTTGGCGATCACACCACAAATCAGGACAATCGCGAATGTGACAATGTACGCTAGAATTTTTAGCACGCGTACGGTGAACTCGAGACATGCTTGGTTGGTCATAGATCCGCTGTCGCTTCGAGGAGGCAAATCTCGGAAAACGTCCCATGCTTTGGTATCTGCCAAAGTCCTTTGGCTAAAGTGTAAACGTTCGTTAATCATTAAACGAATATATTTTTATTTAAAACTATAAAATTAACGTATATTTTGGACGAAATACGTAAGAATGAAATACTAATCAATCGATTTTACGAAGAAAAAATAATCGTGCATTACCTTCCTCCATACAAATCTTGCGTGAGCGGTGAATTCTCGTCATCGTCCGAAGAATTCTCGTCACTGTCGTGTAGTCTCTGGTGAGACATGTTATTTACGGACGGAACGAACGATAAACGTTGAAGCGATGTCATTGCGCTGAAAACAATAATTGATCGAATATTGCATACGTACTGCAATATGACTTTGTCTATGACAAATTTAACATAACACTCAATGCAATATTCAGATATAATCCTACTAAGTGAATTATTTTACTGGGAATACGCTTTATAATCATTTTTTATTCGATTGGTAATTTTTTACTTTTAAAACGGACAATATGATCATACTATATCATTGATATAAGTCTTAGATTTAACTATGATATTCAAATCATCTCTAAAAATCTAGATGTTTCTTTTTAGTGGACATTCTAATTTTATTTTAATATTAACGATTTTATTTTTTTCATACTAATAAATATAAAATTTGCGTTTCTAAAGTAATTAATAAATTACTTTAGAAACGCAATTATTACATCTTTAAATTATAATAATTTGAAAAATACGAACTGCATGTGAACTAGTAAAGTACATATATACTGCATGTTTATATATTATATAGTGCCTATTTAATATATACAAATTGTTAGAATCTCGTTTCGCTTTAGAGCATATCACAAAGATCAAAATATTCCATGAGTGACGATAGAAGTGTGGTTTGTATCAATGGAATTCTGTTGCCACAAGATTTTTCAAGAACATTTGAAGTCGAGGGAAAAAATGTAATTGTTTTTATAAAAAAAAAAAAAACGAATAATATCACATTGGCAAAGAAAGAATTCATCGGTTGATCTAATCGATTAGGTTTTTTTAACGTTTATATGTTTTTGCTGTATTCACTTTTGATGTGAATAAATCGAATACGCCCTTATGTTTGTCGGTATTCATATGTAAATGGCTTATGCATCGGATTTTTTTTTTTTTTACTACTATAACGATTCTTGTTGTAAGCAAAACACCTATTAATATTGTTTTAGGGAATCAAGTTGTATTTCCGCCTGACAACCATCAATACGGTTGAATGCATATGTATTAGCTTAAAATTAAATACCTAAATCATCTAGCGAATTTAAATTATACGATTACCCCAGAATTTTTAATTTTTATTTGTTTTACCTAATATTGAACACGATTTTTGAATTTCAGTTGAAAGCGTTTGAGGTAACCGATTTAGAAGTTATATTGTCTTATGAACTGTAGTTCAAGGATTAACCGAGAGAAAATAAAAGTCCTGAAATATTAGTCATTTAGTGAAATGAGTACATATGACCCGTTCATGACCTTTACTGAGAATGTTAATATTGTCTTAACCTGTCATGATCATAGTATTATACATAGGTTTGCTATACATTATTCTTATTAGTAACAAAATTATACCGTTAATAAGTTTACAAAATTGTTACGTCAGAATAATGTCGTGCGGATAGTCTGTTGCAAAATATCTAGTCACTTTGATAATAAAATGGTAAATAAAATTTAAAATTCATAATTTTACTTTTAATATTGAAAATATTTAAATATTTATTACTCGTTACGTTCATAATACAATATGTTTGTATATCGTCTAAAATATTTTTTTATATTATAATATAATCGCTTATTACAGAAATCACTTAAGTCAAGAATTTTAAATTTTTTAGAAACTAAAAAAAAAATTTCCCAAGTATTGTTATATGTGTAAAGTTTTTGCTCTAAACAAAAATTTCAAAGACACAAATTGGCCACGTAAATATAAAACGTACATAAAGGCTACTTCACAAATTTAGAGCTTGACTCCAAATTTGGATACCATATGACAAAAGAGGAGTTATAATTGTTTTATATATTAAAAGTTTAATAGTTTAAGTTTAATAGTTTTTTTTTAGTTTTTTAGACTCATTAAGTGGGATAATAATGAACGGAGAAGATGCAAGTGAATGTTTGATTATTTTCTTTTGTTTTTTGTACGTTGTGCCTAAGTAAGTCGATCACTTATATAGGTGAACTCAGGTTTAAGTATTTAGTTACATTTTTGATTGGGAAAGTTATGTTATTAAGTGATAGCTAAGAAAAATCTTTGATACCAAAAGCAATATTTATTTGGACTGATTTGTTTTCCATTCTTTGATTTTCCATTTTTTAATCAAATTTGAAATAAGATTTAGGTGGCATTGAATATTATGGACGACTATGTTTGGATCTTTATTTGAAGCTAGTATAGCGGTATAGGTCGCTAGAGTTGTATGATTTGTTATGGGGAGATCTGATGTATAGATACTAAAGAGAATAAGTGATAAGTCGCTTCCTTGGGATACTCTGGAATTGATTATATTACAAGGTGAGTAAGAGTTATTATGTTTTACAATGAAAAATCGGTTTTTGAGAAAGGATTTTAGAATGAAGAAATATGGGGCAGGTAGAAACGACTTTAATTTCAACAATAGTCCATCATGTCAAACACGATCAAAGGCTTGTGCGATATCGAGAAATACACTTGGACAATGTTCTTTTTTTTTCAAATGAAGATGATATTTTGTTTGTGATCCTGTGTATTTGGTGAATTGTCGAATGATATGAACGGAATCCAAATTGATTAATTGGAATTATTTTATTTTCTTTAATGATTGGGGTGATATTTTTGAGAAGTAATTTTTCGAAGAGTTTTCCTGATTTTGGTAAGAGGCTTATTGGACGATATGAGGTTACTAACATATTAATAGTTAGAAACATTTTTATAAATCAATGCTTTTACGTATTTAACTGTCATCATATTTTATTATATTTTTATATTTATTATACATTTTTTTAATTAAAATTATAAACAAACTTAATTAATTAAGCTTTTATTATAATTTTGTTGTGATACGGACAGTTCAATATAGATTTGTTTAGGAATAGTTTTAGTTATTTTTATGAAAAATGTGTCTCTAGATTTGATCAAAGTAATTGGCACAGAGAATTTCGTTATAAATGTAGTTTTAATAATAAGTTTCACATAAGACTATAAGCAGTCACGTTGTGTTTTGATTAATATTTGAATAATATTTCATCTGTCATTTGTGAATATTATTGCAATAATAAGGGCGTGACCGGTAGGAATACAGTATAATGATATGCAATAGCCAGTTGTTACGTGCCGCTTAATTGTCTTGAAAAATGTTGATTTGTATTGATTATTATTAAAAAGTTGAACTTGTGAACTTATGTGTTTTATGAGGTTAAATTTTCTAGCTGGAGTTCCTCAATAATTACCGAACCTAACAGATTTATTTTAACGAACATACGGTTCCAATAAAACTGTTTTAGTAATGGGAGTGCGAGCTCCAGGAAAAAGTGTGCCAATGGTCCAATTTATCCGGTAGGATACACATAACCAGAAATAATTTGTTCACGGCTTGTGCGACAGTGTTTCGAAATACATAATATTCTACCGGTCTGAGATTTACACTCCATTACGCGATGACGGTTCATCAATATCGCGGTATCGGCAACACAATACGCGTGCGAACAGTCAATGTCACAATACACAATTGTACCTAGGTATATAACGTATGTAATCACTACCGGTATGCCGCCGTATTTCACCGGTGCGCGCGATTAATTTCTCATTAAAGATCGAGTAGGATTTCGATTTGATTGACGAACGGAGGACGTACAGTGCGGTGACCTGACGTAAACAGCCCTGGGCGGAATCAAGATTAAAACAAAATCGGCGATTTAAAGCATCCTATAATTATTTATGGATAACGTCGTATAATGGTACAGACGGCCACAAATTAAATCAATTTGAAAAAAATATTCGTCCACGCGGGAAGGCAAAAATACGGCATATACCTATAATATATATATATATACACACAAAAGGTCATTTCACGACTGATCGTTTGATTACAGTAGCAGACATAAGATTTGATTTGATTTGAAACATACATGGTTGTAGAATTTTAATTATTTTTTTAAAAACAATTGGCATGGGCCATAGATTTTTATGTTGGACACAACTGAAGTTATAAAACCATGAGTCACTATTTGGAAACATACACCTCTATGTACTCAAGTATGATGTGTTAAGAAACATAAGGAAGTTTTAATTTAACTAAGTTTCATGAAATATTTCTGAAAACCTAGGCTAATTACTACACTGATATTATATCATTTAAATACAAAAATAATTAGCAACATTCTTTGTTTCAAGATTATTATATTCACTGAAAACGTCGTGTCAATATAAGGATACATCAACATGTATGTTGTGTGTGTATCTAAAAATAATTTCTATCGATCTTTAAATTACTAAAACAATTATTTTCGGTTAAACGATTAAGGATGTATAGATCTTATTAACATATTTTTAAGAATTTATAATTTTGAATTCAAGCACAAATTTTAAGTGAATCACAATGAAATGACCCTGTATATACATTTGATTTGTGGAAGTACAACAATATTCACCTATTGTAACATGTACAGCAGTAGCTGTTTCCTATATAAAAACGCAATATCCGGGAAAATATTCGTGTGAACAGAGTCGAAGTCATTTGTGTTTTTTTCGCAGTCGTGAAATTCGTAATGCGTATACACTTTCTGACATCATGCCTCTAACTTGTCTGTACCAGTATATAGTTGCAGTTGTAGACTAGTAGCAAGGTACATTAGCCGTGAAAGTGAAACGGTCTACAGTCGGTTAGAGTGAAAGGAAAAAAAATCTGAGCAATTGGTGCATTGCTTTAATTTTATTTCGGTTGTTGTTACATTTTGTCAGAATATTTTTATTGGTTATTGGATTTTAATTTATTTTTGTTTCCGAGATGTGTTTATGATACATATATATATATATATTTGAAATTATTACCGCGAACGATATTACGTTACATTTTGGATGATAAAAATCTGACGGTTTTTTAAACTTAAAGACAATGGAGTAAATCAATTGTCAAAATCACAATTGAAATGAGTTTTCTGTAAATTGACAAATAGTCAAAACATAAACAGTCATTCAAAAATAACTATGCATCTCAATATCCCATGACTCTTGAATTAAATTATTTAACAAGGTTAAAATCAGAATGATATGTAGTGTATTGCAATAACGGTAATTTTTTTTATTTTTATGGAAAAACAATAATGGCACTTTTGTATGTGTTCAATTATCTATGTTTCATTTTAACGCGTCGGATAAAAACTGCTATAACTCAAAAATGTATAAGCATTTGACAATATGAGTTATGTATATGAAATTTATTTCAATGATATTAGATAATCTAAAATAATAATAGTCTTAAATGTATGGACAACTTTGTCAAAAAAGTGATCTAAATTTGATAATTTTATTTTTATTTATTTATTTATTATTTAGGTTTTTTTTTTTTTAAAACGTTGCTACTAAATGTACTATTTTTATTTATTTTTTTAATTATTTCCAGTTTTTAGATGGGAAATCTTTGGTGTTTCTTACCAGAATTATATTGAAATTGGTTATTTATTTTTTTATCTCTGTACAATTATTAAGCAATATGATATTTTTTCGACGATATGTGTAAATAAGTTGGTACACGAGAGACTTTAATGCTTTTATTTTAATAACCAAACTAAACATTTGTGAAGTTAAATGTAAAGTAGTTTATAATTTGTATTTAATTTAACAGACAAAACTGGTTGCAGTGAATGGTTTTATGACGGTAAATTTCTAAAATCATTTGAAGACATTTAAAGCTGTAGTAACAGCTACAGATAAATATATATAATTTTTTTAGAGATCGAACACATTGCTACGTTATTATCGACCAGAAATTTGTTTATAATATTAAAAAGCACACAAAACAATAATATACTAACATAATAATATCTTACCTTTGGACGTTAAGCGAATATTGTTGAGTAATCCAATCCAGCTAGGTCTACATTCTTTGATATTCGAACACGTTTACAACACAATGTTATTAAACCACAAGCGAACGCCAACACGCGGCCAGACAACTGTGGCCAAAGAGAGAGGTCTTTGGCTTTCCTTCTTGGTGGGAGACTCGTACAGCAGGTTCGGACTGAGAGAAAAAAATATAATAAGTGAATATATAGAAGGACAATAAAGAAACCATCTACGATACACGTAATGATTCATTCCCCACCCCGCGGGTGATATACACACATTAAACGTTTCCACGCGGCAAATAATAATAATGCATAACTGTTATGGGCGCTATGCACGCATACGCGACAATCACTTGGGGCTCATTTGTTTATTACTCAACAAAACGCTGCTTAAATACCAATCAATGTACGCTCAAGTCAAATGTCATTGTTGGTTCACGACCAAACGTAAAATCAGGTACGGCCGTCGGGAACGTTCCTCGATACGTACGGTATGTGCGAACTCGATTATGCCAAGAACGAAAATGATTTTTGTTTTAAGATTGTATTGGACTTTGTTATTTTCTGTTCTTCCTTAACGTATTTCAACGGAATTTATACGAAGTGCACTTGGACATGTTTCCTTATTTATGGATAGAATTACCCAATCTCGTCGCAATGTGTTAATAATAAAGTATACATTGTTGGAACAAATGCAACAACCCGATTTGTGTGGAGAACAATATTGTACTGGAAAGAAAGGTAGATAAATTGTATTAAATTTCACATGTAACATACACATGCACACACGTGCGTACACACAATCACATATACCTACATTATAAATATGTTTATTGTCAATGGGAAAGAATAGTTACAACGTTAAATTTATTTCTAGAGAATTAAATATCAATTATAAACATCGAAGTACGTTCATAATTAAAAATGTTTTTATATTAGCAATCCAAAAATATCTATTTTATACATATTATTTTGGTGGACAATAAATGCTAATGAATGAATCGGAATGATGACTATTTTAGAAACCGGTAAACCTTAAATAGTGACTACGATGGAAGTTTTATTTTTAGTTTATCCTTCAAAATACATATAATGGTCCGGTAGAATCATGTTTTTTTTTTTATATATTAATAATTTACGATTATATAAGAAACTCATTCTAATATACTGTGAAAATATTGTTTTATTCTTTTTGTAAAATCGTTTATGGGTGAAACAAAATAATTTCGTCCTTGCAGTGATTCATATTCTTAGTCATTAAATACTTTTTGAATGTAAAATTGATTAATATATTAATAATAATATATTAGTATATCATTTTTTCTGTGTTAGCAGTGATAAAGTGATTTTAATTTTACTATTCGAAAATTAAATATATTTAACTACAAAATATAACGACCGTATAAAATTTACAATTTCAAAATTATATATATTTAGTTTATAGTATTTTGATATCAATAATATTTTTTTAATATAACTAGCTAACCCCACAGACGTTGTCTTGAATTAGCTATTAATATTTAATTCGAATTGGTATAATTTTATTTATTAAAGATATATATATATATTTTTTTCTACTTTGTCGATTGGTTTTGTCAACATTTCATGGCCATCTGAAGTTTTCTTTTCCTTAACATTTAATATACGACGACTATAAGGATGATGAAAAAACATTTTCTTTTGGAATTTATCAATATTTATTTGTATTTAACTTGTTTTGTGTGTATCTATGTGTGTGTGTGTGTGTGTGTGTGTGTGCACGTGATATATTACATTATATTCCTTTTCCTTGGAATTTAATTGTGGTTACTAGTCAACATATACAAAACCATATGTAATTATATTGTTATTATTCTTAAACGAACTTTATGAAATATATTTGCCTAATATAGAAATAATTAGAATTATAAATAGTTTTAAATATTTATATTGAATTAAAATTGTATAATACTTATAACTTCATTATATAGTTTCGATTTAAAGAACAATTTTAGACTAGTTAAATTTACAGTTTTTGGTATAAGTATTAATCTTCTCATTATTTTATTTCTACTCTGCTAGTTTTAAAAATTAAAATTATATTTTTAGTTTTACTTTTACTGTTATTATGTTTATTATTATTATGATTGTTTTATATCTTAATTGAGGCTGAATATAAAAGCAATTTATAGTAGTTCTAATTTTAAATCTGAAACAGTTAAAATAATATATAATTATGTAAATATAGTATATTAATTTACATTAATATTGTATAATTTTAAAAATAATGCAAAAACTGAAACATCAATCGATGTTATTATCTACATTTAAATATTGTTATTATTATTATTATCAGATTTATTTTTCATACTATATGGAATACTATATAATAAGTATGAGTATTAAAGCCCAAACATTCCTAAAATATTTGAATTATAAATTTAAATTTTACATGTTTGTATATTTTACGTACTCATATCATATTGAGTTAGTAATACAAATTTGTACAAATATATAAATTGACTATTTTTTAATCTTTTAAGCAAGGTGAATCGTTTTATTACAAACAGATAAATCTTTTGACATGTACAAATATTATAATACATAGTAAAAATATCATTTAAGGCTAAATTAAGTAAGATATATACATATTTTGAGTACACATTACATACTCAAGATCAATAAATTTATCTTGTATTGTATATTAGGTACTCTAATTCACTGTTAGAAAATGTACCGTAATTAATTTTGACTTATTATTTTTGCATGTAAAAATAAATACTTATGTGAAAGGAGTAATTTTTAATTTTATTATGCAATATTATCGATTTGTGAAAAATACATTTTAATAGTGTTCGTCATTAATACTTAGTAACTAAATGTGGAAATAAAAAATTAAACGTTTCTGGTGACGCATTAATTAGTCAGTAGTCTTATATTCGTGGCATAAAATCATAGTCTAAAGTGTGTCACATCTAATAAAATAATAGTTAAAGTATATAATAATAGAAATAGGAAGCTTAAAAAAAAGAAAACTAAAATGTTAGGCGTACTACAACGAACGATTGTACATTGAAAATACTTAATGATATTAATGTGAATGATTAAAATTACAATAATAATAAAAGATATCGGTCAGTGAAAATATACTTTCGAAACATATAAACTACAAATATTAAGTAAAATAAACTGGGAGCAAATAACTTATATAATTTAAACTATATTTTATCAGTCAGTAAATTAGGTCATCTAGTAAGTTTTCAGTTTTCTATACGCTATTGAGTAACTTGTGATTGTCGGTAGAAATAATAATATTTTTTACAGTTATTCTGATATTTTAAACTTAGTTTTAGTATTTTATGTTTTATTTATGATTCGTTGATATCACTAATATAATGTGACAATCTGATATATTTAAGTAGAACTTACATAATTGAAATGTATTTTCTTTATTGATAGCGACCATTGTTGTAAATTAATTAAATTATACATGTTATACTATTATACTGTTTTATAAATTATATTATTTATAATAGAAATGTAGTACATTAATGTATCTAATTATAATTGAGTACAAATTATTATAATAATAATTTATGCTAAAATGTTAATAAAAACTATTTCTTTATTAAAAACAAGTATAATTGCATGTAATTATAAACATGATTATATACCTAGAATGGCGTACTTTCAATTTCAATCTTGAGGGGAGATGAAAAAATGCATTATCACAGTGTTTATTTTTTCGCCTTTATGTCTTGTTGTCTCTGGCTATATCGATTATTATAAATGTTTTAATGACAACACACCAACGATATCACTATTATTATTATTTATATCTTGTATAGAGTTTGTTATTTAATTTTCTGACCAATATTGAAGTCATGTGTTCTATACACGTAACAAAATATTTTATTAAACATCATATTATAATAACGTGTTTTAATATATTATATTCATGATATAATGTATAATAATTCCATATTATAATTAAATCAATGCATTTATTTATTATAGTCGAGCACACAAAATAATGATCACATAATAAATATATATATACGAGTAATTTATTCAACAACCGGGTATTAAATCGGTATACCTGTTTCTTCTCCCCGTAAATATATCACTGAGTGGAGCACTTGTACTATATGCATTGTCTTAACGTATAAGTACAATCATTTAGACCAATAACACCTAAATGTCGTATACCAGAATAAGAACAATTTATTTTTGCTTGTTCAGCCCAATTTTTTTAAAGTTCCCTTTTATTAGCTTTTATTATTAAACTAGTACATATATATATGTACTAGTTTAACGATATAGATATGTTTATAAAAATTGCTTCATAGCCTTAACAAGGACTGACGTATTGTAAAATAATTATGAAGGTATAAAATCAGATTAAGGGGCGTTATCCAACTGCGGCACCTCCGCAATTTCGCCAATAGCTGTAATAGGTCCTTACCATAATGTTATTACTCTATTGAAACCACTAGTCAGAAGTTTGCCTAGACAGGTGGTGTTTAATTTAATGGCATTTCAATTTGATAAAAACTTAAGAATCAACTCAATAATCTAGATAATTTTCTATTTTAACGTCATGAACTATACGGATATTATAATTTATGTGGTATATGTTACATCAAGATAAGTCACAGAAGTTGACGAAAATACGTTAATTTCTTGTAAATATCGATTGTAACAATTAATGTATTCATTTTCATTTACCATATTTTATTTTGAAATTTTTTTATCATAATGAAAATTTTGTCACAGCACATTTTAATTTTAAGTTTATTATTCTATGCATATTATTAGTATGTACGTGATGAAGTGGAATTTCTAATTTTAGTGGAAAATAAATTAAAAAATATAAATTTCTGTAACAAAAAGTTGACCTGATCAAATCGATATCATATTCTTGTACGATTGAATACAGAAATTGTGGATCATATTTTACAACACAAAATATGGTCTTTTTTAGTGCGAGTTTTAAAGACTTGTTATTGATTTTAGTTATTTTTTTCAATACAATTATTATAGCTTACTAGTATCAATAGTATACGAGTATCATAGTATAGAATTTTACCTTAGTTTAAATGGAGTGGTACCAATTAAACCAATCACATTAATTATAATCATAATGAATATTAATGAAAGATTATTGCATGGTTTTATATAAATCCATCTCTGATAGAAATAATATATACTAGTAATAATCTATTAAATAATATATAGTATACTCCCCAAGAGTATAATATAAAAGTTGTTGTTCCTGCAACTGCTGTGTGTACCTATACGATTTTTCATTGACTCTAGTAGGCTAATAACCCGGTCGGTGACAAATCTTGCGTGAATCCGAGTTTGGACGAGAACAACTATAATATGAGTTCAAAAAACAATTTAGTTATATGACCCCGACAACAATGCCGACGTAGGTGGACAGATTTACAATTGTAGGTAGTGTTGAATCAGTTCGAACCATTACAATAGTAATACTACCATTGCCCGAGAAGGAAACGCGCCTTTAATAAATATAATTACGAAACACTTACTTATAAGCTCTATCGGACAATGCATATTATATTACGTTAATTATGTTCGATCGAAATATGGCTGTATATGTCATTATCATGGTTCAAACGTCGCATATGATTATTGTTATTATTATACGTTATTTGTTGTCGCTAATAATTTATCACCGTAATCGTTTTCGGTTTGTGTACAACCGCGAGTCCAGCGTGCAGATTGTAATGTAACGAATAACGATCCACGACGAACAAAATCATAGACTGTGCTTTATTAATTTCTACGTCGAATTCGTTTGAATGTGATTATTGTGATTTTTGATTGTTGAAACGTCGACTTATAATAGGTTCTTCTTCTTTTTCAGTTTTGATGTTTATAATTTTTTCTACTGGTTTTCTACGATGGTATACAACAAACAATAACGTTTGTTGTCTGTGCAGTTCATTCGAAGTAACGACGTTTGGAAAGAGGCAAATAACTTGTTCAGAATGCTGAACGAAATCATAGACCGGTAAAGAACCGAAATAGTATAGTACTACTGAACTTATAAAAATTTCATATTTATATACATTTTTTAAAACTATACCGGAGTGATGTTGTAATATAATTATATGTTTTTGAAAAGATTGCAGTGAAAAAGCTCGATGAGAATATCGAGCGATTTCCTTTTACCACCAGTGTTTTTGGGCAAGTGCTACAAATCGGCAATAAAAGCGCGATCGCGGAGTGCCGTGAAGAATATCCGAATGTTCCATAATACGAGACGGATTTACTACTATGCACGGTCGACGGATTTGAATGGCGAGCGAAACAAAACGAAGTGTACAACCGACGAGAGCACGCCGAGGACAAACGATCGCCGATACGTCGTTTCCCGATTCCGAACACGTTTATGGCCGTATAGGTGTATCCGGAGCGTAGGTAGGAATCTGTGTACACTATTACGAACGCGCAATAAACGGACGACGACCGACCGACCATGAACGGCCCAGTGTGATATTGTCGCGAATAAAATGATTCTAACTGCACGCACGCGGTTTGCGGACAACCATCAGTAATTCTGTCTGAACTACAGTTATTGCTTATTATGACACTCGTGCGTTATTCCTTAATTATTCGTCTTCTTCCGTCACGTTCGCATCACAACGATATGGACACGAATCGCGTATTTTCATCACGCGGTCCTTTCTAGCAGCCCCACTAACCATTATTTACTTTCCTCGCGGAAGCAGCAACTAAAACAGTTATTTCAGCAACGCATGCGAACCTTTTACCCTATTTGCTGTTATCTTCTTACGCAGTAGCTCCGAACTTCTAAAAGTGTCTCAGCCCAGATAAAAATACTACGGCCTCAAGCACCCTAGCGGCCACATGTCTACATTTTTACTTTGCAATTACAAGACTTAGTAAGCATGGTTCATACTATAATAGTCAGACACGTATCGTACCGTACCGTTCCGCAAAATATTTTATTATGTGTTTTAATTTACGTCATTCACATTTGAAAGTTTCCGTTTCGTTCATACACGTACCGATCCGATAGAGCCTGTCCGGCATTCCTCGCGAGCGAGAAAAATCGCGAGGTCAGAATATTGCAAAGTGCAAACTATAAATCGGTCCCTCTGATCCCCGGTCTCGTTTTAAAAATGTGGTGGGATTGCGGCCTGACTTAAACATAGGGTTTAACGCCATTGATCTTGCACGCGCGAAACAGGACATTGTTGAACTAGTCGTACTACGATGCGTTAAGATCCGGACCGGGGGGGGGGGAATAATACGATTTGTCCAGTACACATAGGTGGTCTCTCGTTCGAGAACCGTTCGATTTCAAACAAAATGGTCAATTATTCGTTACGACGACTTGTGTTATTGTCAAAATGTTTGGGGTCATAGTTATTTTTCATTGCAATTCATTTATTTGTGATAACAGATCTCTTACAGCCGAAAACCATGTTGGTAACAAGTATTTAAATATTAATAAAATTATCACAGTTATATCCCAAATGACTTCCATGTGTGAACGTTTAGAAACTTGTTTATATTGCAATGCATAAAAGCATTTTAAAATACGGTTTTTTAAATTTTCAAAAATCTCATAGTGTTTTCACGATTCATGGAATATAAACTATTACAAATAAATGAAATAATAATTTTACGATCCTAACATATAACATGTTTGGGAGTCTAAAAACGTCAATGTTCCAATATTGTGCCTCTGATTCTTTATACAAAATCTATTTAGGTAAACATAATATTAATTAAAAAAATATTCCAAGATCATCACTTAACACGAAATAAATTTATTCAAAATTGTTGTATTAAGGTAAGCGTGGCAGATATTTTGGAATGTTTTCACGCAAAATCATTATAAATTAAATTAAATCATCGGATATTTACATTCAACCCAAAAGCCGAATAACGCGCTCCAACAATAATCACATCCGACTTTCATAATTTATTTTTGGAGTAAGTATAATTAAAAGAAAAAAACAAGACAGCGCACGTATAATTGTGGTATCTAGTTATTATTTTTGGAATATTGTGGAGTGCGTATATATAGTGTACAATGCGTGTACAGTGAATATTTAAATTCTACTTGAATACACGTGGTCTTATTATAATGTGAATTTAAACATCGAACAAAATAAAAAAATTATTTTCGTTTTTTTTCTATAGAATAAAAATATCAAGTAAAGTCAATGCATGGACGTCTTACTTTAACAATGAGTTAATATTTCAATCTGAATGTTGACAAAAACAGCGGATCAAAAATTGACGCATAATTTTTCTATATAAAAAATGAATATCGTCGTGTAATGTATGCATTATTCATAATACAATGTGATAGTTACTCTCATAATAATGTGATATAAAAGATAATTAAATGTTACCTAATTTTAATAATCCATGTAAAAAACAGCTTTATGAAGGGTATTGTTAGAAAAAAATTGTTAACTGATTTGATTTTAATAATAAAAATGGATATCCCAATTATATTTAATGATCTATCCGCTTTATATACCGTTTTCGGAAGAATGGCATTTATTCTAGGCAACAAATATGCCCGAATTAAATACTAATTTTTAAAATAAATACTATAATAAATTGCTGTAATAATCATAAATTTAATTATTATTTTGTATGATATTTATGCAATTATAAAATTACTAATAGATTATTGAAAAACGTAGGTTCTTATTTGACAAATTATCCAAATAGCGGTATTACATACAACCTATTTTAATTTTTAATTTTTTTTTTTATTAATTGTCTTACTATGCAAGTTTTTGGGTGAAAATAATTGAATGTTTGTTTACTTTGTACACTCGAGATAATTTAAGAACAAATTACTTTCTAAGAATTAAAGATCGGAGATCTCGTTTTATTTATTATTGTTTCAAGGCGATTTAAAATCTAAAATGAAAATATACTCGAGTTTAAAGTGTAATAATTTATGATTTTACGATTTATTTCGGACGCCTTTGTGTTATCTTATAATATAATAATTACAGTCTATTCAAAATCGTGTTGCGAGGACAATCTAATTTGCAGATTCTTGTACTTATATATCTTATCAAGAGATTTGTTTAACGCATGAATAATCGTAACCATTATTATTTTAATGTACCTACTCACGATTTCACGAAAATAGATTGGTTTCTTTTTGGTACTAAAAAAATATGTTACGGCAGTGGTTTAGGACTAGAAGTTTGTAGTAGTTCTTGAAATATGATCGTTTCGAGGCATTTAAAAGGTGAGATACTACACACTAATATTGTTTAGAACAAACTTTCGACGAGAAACTCTTCAGCGGAAATGATTGTGATTGTTCGATAAAATGTTGCTATAGATTTGTTGCTTTATTACAATACGAATAATATGATATCCGATAGAAAGGTGATTTTTTTTTTTATCGTCATGAGCATTAAAAATAGTATTACAAATGAAATGATTATTATTATTTTTATTATATCATCTATATAAATCAAATATATCGCTTCTCCAGTGGAACAACGGCGTAAGTGAAAATGTAATTGTTCTTCAGAAAACGTAATTGTTCCATTGGACATGTGATTAAAAACCGGTATTTTCAACAATGACGAAACTGCTCTCTAGCGGTCAATAATAGGTATTATACTTATGTCATTGTTCCATTCGATAAAATGAAATGTTATTGTACTGTTGTCGTACTTATGTCTAAAAGTCAAAAATTTGCACTTATGTCGTTGTTCCACCGGAGAAGCGATATTTTTAAAAACGCATAAAATACGTCGTGTAGCAAAACTTAAAACTAAAGATGGCGATACATCGATATACCTACTTTGTGCAGGCTATTGTTTTACGAGTCGGTTTTGATAAGACAATAGTTTTTTTACGATGGTAAAATGTACCTGTATTATAAATATAATATGTGTTATAAACATTTATTTGAATAAAAGTGTTTGTCAGAGTTGTTCGAGTAGGTGAAATATTTTATGTTCGCTAATCGTTTCCAAAGAAAAAAAAACCAAAAAGTTTAGTACTTATGCACTACCAAACGAGAATGGATTTCAAGACCACAAGTAAAATACAAAAACAAATCCCCGATCTAAGACGTAGATCGGCGAAAGAAAAAAAGAAAAGTCGACCGGACAGTGGAGCGGGAATGTCACGGACAGTATATGTAGTACACCATGGTGGCCATTGAGACAATATAATAAGATATTGACTTTGACGGGCGAAAACTTTCTCTTGCATTTAGGTTTTTAGCGGATTGCGAACGGACAACGACGGTGACCGGCGTGCGAATAAATAATTGTTATAATTATTGCAGCAAGATTCGGTTAGACATTTGTGATTTTAAGTTGTCCTCGCAGATAATTTTTTAATCATTATAAATCGTCGATTGAAGCCTAAATCCGACGATTCCATCCACCGGTCCCATGTCGTTTGACGGTATTGCGTGGAAATACCTACTATATAATGTAACACTACAAATCACTTATCCTCGCGACGTTGCGTCATTTCGCGTTGCGTTCTTTTGGAATTCGCCATCTATAGGTTCGTGTACATTACGTACAGCATAAATATTACTATACATATAGATTATGCACACTACAACAGCTGCGTACACGACCGAGTTTGTTGGTGGGCACAAACCCAACCGGACAATGCACACTTTATTGTTCTGAAAATATTTCAACAAGGTCTATTATAATGATTTGGAAAAAATTACACATTATATTTTTCTATTATAAAATGGCTAAATCATAATGTACACACGCAGGTATCTAGTAGTATGTACATATTGTATAATATGCCGCTTCAAATAGGGCGCCTTGTGAGGATTTACGTTTTTAAAAACGCTGAGTTATTGCAGTTAAATCGATGTTGAAGTTACGGAATCTAAGACGGTAAGAGGGAAATAGTGATGCTCAATCCGTAGTTAAAAATGAAACAAAAATTATATTTTATTAGTTTATAACTCTAACAGTATACTTGAATATTGAAAGTGTATTGGTTTTCTTAATAACAATAAACGGCCGTAATTGAAGTCTTTCCAAAATTAAACAAATTCCCAGTGACATTGTCCGCGATTACAGGTACATAATTTTTATTTATATTATCAACTATACGTATAATATAATGCATGTCTTTATCAAATGTTTTAAAATATTTTAACCTATAGCTAGCAATATTAAAATATTCTTTGTTATGTAAATAGTATTTAAAAATAACTTAAATCAATTAAGTCTTTCATGAATTTCTCATTTTTTTTTCGAATAATTAATATTTTAATTTCAACTATATTAATGTTCTTATACCAAGTAAGTAAATCATTTATTTGATTGAATCTGAATCAAATAGCTTTCAGTCATCAAGAGATTACTTACAATTTTTCCAGTATTAAGGTGTTTTAATTTTAACTCAAACTTAAAGTTAACTTTCTTTTTAACATTACATTTTTAAAGCCACCATTAATAAAATAATTCAATATTCTCTATAATTTAAATAATCTTTCATCTAACTAAATTTTTTTTATTGAAATAATTAATAATCTAATTTATTATACCAATTTTAAATTTTAACTTCAATTATATTTATGCTTATTTTAGTAAGTATGTTAATAGTATTTTGAAAAACGCTAGGTAGTTTTTATGATATAATTTAATGAAATAAATATTACATAAAAGTTTGTAACCTTTTAGCCCCATTCCTTTTTGGGGGGTCTACTTGTACCCAGTAGCCGAGGGGAACACTCTGCTGGTGATCCACGGGCCGATTCTCGTATATCCGCAAAGGTGTGTGATTGAGCTCGTGGGTTTTTTTATTTACTCAAGTTAAAATTTAAAAAATATAAGATAAAATTTTGTTATTACAACGATAAAAAAATTAAAAATAATAATAATAATAATAATAGTTTTTTTTTTACATGAAATAATAAATTTAAAATAATAAATAAAATGAATGTAACTAACAGGAAATAGTCGGCGAAACGGCTATTTACGGCTACTACGCGGCTCCGCGAACGGTTAACCGGAGTATTTCGGTTGCGTAATTTGTTCTTTTTTTTTTTTTAAATCTTTTATAATGATAATAATAATAATATTACGCAACCGGATTCTTTTTTGTTATTGATGATCCGAAAGGATCAGAAGTACATTTTAAAAGGGAAAAAAGGGAATTTCATAGGGACATTATTTTATGTTTTACGGTGTTGTTGAGGTGTAGCTGGTGGTGTTACGGCATCCTTGTTGTTTCGTCCGCCGTGGGCCATGTCTGTGGGCTTAGGTGGCCATGTGTGTGGTTTGAAAACTGGAGTTGAAGTATAAAAATTACAACGTTGTGGGAAACTCACAAAAAAAATTACGTCTGTGCGGTTGGATGTCGGAGAGCAGACAGGGATAGGTCGTCGTTGATACATATTTTCCAGCGACGAGAACTGTATATGGTTAAGGGGGGGGACTCTCATAAGACGGTGTTTTTTGATTATAAATCAATAATAAATTAATGAGCTATCCGTTCGTCGGACTCGATAAAAAACTTTATTGGACCTATTTAATCACAAGTTAAACAATTTAA